AGAGGAGGTGGGAAATGCAGGGGTGGGGGGAAGCCCGTTGCGCGGGAAGGGAGCGGAGAGCGAACCGGAACCCCGGGTGGCCCTAGAAGCAGCAAGGCCGGGTTGCAGGGACGAGAGGGGTCCTGAGAGGAGTGAGCCCAGGCGGGCGGGGGAACACGCTGGAGGCAAGACCTGGGTCAACAAGCTGGACCAGGCAGGGTTCGAGAACTGGGACAAGGGCTCTGGCCTGGCTCCATCTCGGGAACTCCGAGGTGGGTCGGAACTAGACTGGTGGGCGGGGAACTCGGAGCCTGGAGAGGGCTCCGGACCACCCACTATCTTCAGGCGCCCTTCTCTCCTTCCCCTTCTGGGCTCCCGGCCCTTATCAGCCCTCTTCCTGATTCCTGGAAGACCCCAGAACACTTGGGGCGTGGGCAGGCCTTGGGGAGCCCAGAGCAGGCAGGCCTGTGGGGTTTCAGCGTGGAGGTCTCAGGGCCTAAGTTGGGTCTGGGGAGGGGGAGGTAAACATGCCTTTGAGGACTGAGGCAGGTGATGAAGTCACAGGGTCTGGATCTGGAACCCACTGCTCTCCACTGGCCTAAAATGGCATCGTGGCCCAGCGCCCAGGATGGGAGGAAAGGGGACCATCTTCCCGGGGCCCAGGGTCCCCTCCAGCCTTCCCCTCCCCATATGGGGGGATTCCTGTGTGAATGCTGAGGCTCTTAGAGATTTAAAAATACTAGTAATTTCTGGGAAAGAAAAAAATTTTAAAAAAAAAGGATGTAAGAGAAAGCACACAGCACCACCCTACACACACTAGGGAAAAAAGGAATACCAGTAGTTGCTGGTCATAGTTCTAATTTTCAGTCACCGGATATTTTTAAATACAATCCTTATTTACTTATTTATTTGGAAGGTTTTTGTCATTGGGCATGTGCACTCTCCAGAGAGAGAGAGAGACAATGAGAGGGAAAGGAAGACGTCATTCCCCCCAGGGATGGCCACTCTACAATCCCTTCTCCGTTCTCCTCTCTGGCGTGTGTGTGTCTGGCATGATTTCCACGTCGCTAGGTCTGGGACTTGAACCGTGGGTGGCCGTGTGGGAATCCAGTGCCTTAATCATCATGCCACCTGCTGGCCCCAACAATCTTACTTTATTTACTGATTGACTATGAAAAATTGAATTTTGTCTAAACTACTCCAAATGTAGACTTAGAATTCTACTCTTTTATTACTTCAGGAGTAGAGACATGAAAAACTTTACGCCTAAGAAAATGGAACACACATGGGACTCAAATTCCTCTCCATTTGTGGTTATTACCAAGAGGGTGCGAAGCGGCGCAGAGATTACGCGCTGCTCAGGAGAAGCCGGATTCCACGTGGCGGCTGCCGCTGGGGTCCCCCCGGCGGTGGGGGG